CTAAACCATTGGACTAGCTAGTACTATATTGGTCAGTACTAGCCTTTTCACCCTAAACCATTGGACTAGCTAGTACTATACTGGTCAGTACTACCCTTTTCACCCTAAACCATTGGACTAGCTAGTGATATTCTGGTTTTGTTTGATAAGGGACGAGGAGGAGGAGGAGGAGATCGGTTGTGTTACAGTTAAGAGGCAGAATTGGGCACAGTACTCCTTTGAACTCGTTTGCTACCTGCCCCTTGGTAAAGGGACATATACTCAAAACATTTTTTATATTAATTTGGTTAAATACTACACTATTAATGCAATCCTGATACAGTGTGCATACAAAATGTGACATCTATATTTCCCTGGTTAAGCAGTGTTAGCACAGAGAAGTTACACAGTGTCTAATAGTGAAGGTGGGAGGTTGTTTGTGTTGCAAAGCTAAACCACCACACCTATTTGTTCATGGTAAATTGGATACTCTGTGCCCTGAGGAAAAATAACTAGTTTGTTAGAGGGAGAGAACCGGAGTCACGAGTCCTAATGGGTTCTGGATATGAGCAGGGCGGTTGTTGCAGCCAGCCTGGGGCCCCATCAGGGATTGGTCACATGACCCGTACATGACGGCAATTAATCAAACTCTCCTTAGCCCCACCTCCCCCTCGCTACGCTGCGACTGGATAGGCTGCTGAGTATTTGCCAGTGAGAAGTTGTTGCACAGGCAGAAGGAAAACAAGCCTCACAGAATGGCGAACAGAAAAAAAACTCTGTCCGACAATATTTTATTTTCCAGAAATGTTAAACATAATAGGAAAATATATTGTTTGTTTTGGGGAAATGCTTTAGAATTGACTGTTTTGATACATATTTACTGAACACAACAATATGAATCAATGATAGTTCAGTGTTCACATGATTGTCATGTGTTTGTGAGGTTTGGCGTCAGACTGCATGTTGGCTTTGGAGCAGTTTCCATGTGACTGGCTGGTGGTCACTCTTTTTTCTCTCCGTTTATTTTGATCTTTCCTACTCATCCACTGAGTCATTCTGTCATTCCTCTTTTCAGAATGGTACGTTTTTGGAGCATTGATGACAAGTCCCCCCAAGCCATTGCCCCCATAACTAATGGTCTCTGCTGTGCATTCTCTACTGACGGGAGTGTGTTAGCAGCTGGGTAAGACTGGCACACCTACGACAACCACACACACACACCACCAGCAGACACAAAAATTAAGCGATCAGTCTTTTACGCTTTACTTTTTACAAGGCCAACGACTTTGTCTTTCAGGTCCCGAGATGGCAGTGTTCATTTCTGGGCATCCCCTAAGAGCATTGCCAGTCTCCAGCACCTGTGCCGTATGGCTCTACGACGGGTCATGCCAACCCAGCAGGTGCAGGCGCTGCCCATCCCGTCACAAATCCGCTCGTACCTGTCCTACCAGGTTCTCTAGGTTCCCCTCTTTACCCTCAATACCAACACATTGCACAAAAGTATGAAGAAGAAGAAGAAGGAAGAAGAACCTGATTTAACTGATTCTCTGGCGAGGCAACTTTTTGTATTTATTTATTTTGGTAGGTTACGTCTGTGTTTGGGTGCGCACACGCGAGCACCAGGTATTAAGTGCCCTGTCTATCTATACCGAAGACAGCCTGACCATTGTTGTGTCCATTTTATGCAGTGGCATCTTCCTCTGTAATGGAGACTTGATGCTGTTTATGAATGCTGTTGTGGCGGTGACATCAACACTAATGTACTATTTGTACACCTTACAACTTGAATGGCTTGTTTCTCCACAATACATAGACAACCAATGTGGAGGACAACTTGCAGGCAGTGGGATCAGAACAACAAGTTTCTGATTAACTAGTGATGGGGATGTGTTGTGATACCCTAAATGTGATACCCTAAATGCCCCCCAGGGGTTCTGGTCTCGCTGCCCTATTTACACTTAGAAATAATCCGGAATATACAGTACATTTTACAGACTAGGATTCTTTTTATTACTACTGTTTATTTTTGATTGTTATGTGCTTGTACATTTTTTTTCCCTTCTGTAATGTGAACCCGAATGAATGGCACAGAATGTCTTATTTTATAGAGACCAGGATTTAATCCAGTGTTTCCCCTGGGATATATTTTTGTTCATTTTTATTTACAGTGGTTGCAAATTTAGTTTGGGGATGGGGGGAGAGTTTCGAGTTCTCCCTGGCCACTTTTTATTTGTTCTCAAAGATTTTTTTTAAAATATGATGTATAGCTCTATTTACTTTTCTATATACTTTATTTTGTTTTAATATGATTATTTGTATTGTTTTTGGTGTGGAGGCCACCATTTAAATCACTATAGGGGAAACACTGTAGACTCTGTTCTATATAGAGATGGACAAACGAAGCCTGTGAAAGTGAGTGTTTGACCGAAAACCAGAAACCAGTTGCCATTTTGTATTCAAGACTGTCTGAAGCCCATATTTAACCCATGGCCACATCTCATCTGTGAAATGCTGCAGAATAGTGGAGTTTCTGACTGTTTAAAGTAATCTATAGAGGAGTGTTGTGAGATTCACTGAAGGAAAGTCATTAGAGTTGCAATCGGTAGCATGGCATCTTTATTGATTGTGACATGCCTGGCAAACTGAATGCAGACATATTAAATATAGAATGTTGAGAATGGCAAATAGTATTCATGGTCTACATGCTGTTTACCAGTTCAGATTGAATTGACTGTGTGGTGAATGAAGACCTGTGTTCATTCAATCTTGGCAATACTTTTTGTGTAAATTCAATGCTAATGCCAAAGGTCTCTCTGTCATTTGTTTCTGTCTGTAGCCTTTCTTTGGCAGGCAGTCACATGTCTCATGACAAAAACTTGAAACTGCATCTGTGATTTTTATTTAATTTCCTCTGCTTTTATTACTCCTTTAAGTAAAACGGTTGTCTTCAATAACCTATTTTTATGTGTTTAGCAAAGCCTTTTCCTGATTTATCTAAAGCAGGTGGATGAATCCAAGTGCCGGGTTCTCACATCGTTCCACAGGTGTGTTCCCACAGTGATATATATATAGGGGTTTGGATATTCTCCAAATATTGCAATGTTAAAGCACTCTAATCAATGCAATATGCAGCAGTTAAATGTTGACTATATTGTATTTGAACAGGGGTACTGGTTTTTCTTTATGGTCTGTTTTGTGTTTTATTTTGGAATTTTGAATAAAGGCTTTTTGAAAACAAAAAACAGGCATCTGGGCCAAAGATTTTGTAAGTTAATTGGAACAAGATAAACGGAAATTATGTTCCTTGAAATACAAACAGGAGCACAAACTGTTGACACTGGAGGTTTAAGGGCCCGGTTCCCCTCAAGGGTTCTTCTTAAATTCAACCCATGTTTTATTGGTGGCCACTGTGTATCCACCCATTGATGCATGCTTTGTGAGGTTTCAGGGGTGGGTGTTTGTAAAAGCACTTTGTGACAACTTCCAGAAAGTTTTTGTAGTCATGATAAGGAGGGATAACTTACAGATGACTGTTACAAATGATTTGGTTTTATATCTGCTTAAGGATCAAAACAATTTTTTTTAATGATTCTAAATCGCCTATGTTAAGCTAATTAAAATAAATATTGCTGGATAGCCTAGTGTCGTACCGGGAAGACATTGTGTTTTAAGTCAACCAGTAAAGATTCAAAGGGATATTCTGTAGATACACGTTTGATTGTTAGAGGCACAATTGGTTGTTTGTTGATCAATGATTTTATTTTAGAATGTAGTAAAGTAAAAGAACTTTATTACTTCAAAATATTTGTACCTATTTGCCCCTTTGCATAATATTACACTGAACTTTGAAGCTTGGCAAACTGCTGAGTAATTTGTGAAATGTGTTGAAACCAAAGTCACCTGACTGGTCTAAACAGATACATTTATTAATTGGTCCATTGGATTTACAACAAGTCTATCAGGAACGTCAGATGTGATTAGTGTTGAACTGTGGATTCTGATAATCTGGTTTCGTCACCTATAACTATCAGGTTACTAAGTACTAACCTGTAATAATAAGAATTAAATATATTCTGCGTCTTTAAACAGGGCGTACAATACAACATCTGATTCGGGTGGCCAAGTGCCCAGATGATCCTACTAGGTAAACCTCATCCCTGGTGATCTACAGTGATAATGGACTACACATTCAGCTAAAATACCACATGCTCAGTGCCCCGTGATAACAGTATAGTAGTTATTGCCAGAAGCCATATCACCCTATAGCCCAAGACTGGTTGCCCACTGAAGCTAAGCAGGGCTGAGCCTGGTCAGTACCTGGATGGGGGACGACCTGTAAAAACCAGGTTGCTGCTGGAAGAGGTGTTAGTGAGGCCAGAGTTGGCTGCACTCTGGTCTGTGTGTGGGTCCTAACGCCCCAGTATACAGACGGGGACACACAGAAGGGGCTGCACTCTGGTCTGTGTGGGTCCTAATGCCCCAGTATAGTGACGGGGACACACAGAAGGGGCTGCACTCTGGTCTGTGTGGGTCCTAACGCCCCTGTATAGTGACGGGAACACACAGAAGGGGCTGCACTCTGGTCTTTGTGGGTCCTAACGCCCCAGTATAGTGATGGGGACACACAGAAGGGGCTGCACTCTGGTCTGTGTGGGTCCTAACGCCCCAGTATACAGACGGGGACACTATAATGTTAAACTGAGGTCTTGACTCTCATTAAACCCCCAGGATGTCCTTCGTAAGAGTAGGGGTGTACCCCCGGCATCCTGGCCAAATCTACCCCTTGTCCTCTGTCCATCATGGCCACCTAATCTTCCCCATATATATACTAATTGGCTTCATCACTGTCTCCTCTCCACCAGTAAGCTGGTGTTAGGTGTGTGTTCTGGCACAGTATGGCTGCCGTCGTATGCTGCACATTGGTGGTGGTTGAGGAGATTCCCTAACCCTTCCATGGAAAGCGCTTTGAGGTCCCAGAAAAAGCGCTATATCAATGTAACAAATTATTATTAGTAGTCAGTGGAGTTGGTAACTCAGTGGTAGAGTGCATGCTTTGTGTGTATGATCTCCTGGGTTCAATTTCCAGCTTCTCCACAGGGCAGCGTTGCAAATGAGAATTTGTTCTCAATCAGCCTATCCAGTTAGTGGTTAAAAAAAATACTGTGTGAAAATACACCAGCATGCAGAGTACACATGCTTCTGTGTGGTGTCATGTAAAAATAAAACTGATCACGGACTAGCTGGTTTATCATTTACTTGGACCTAATACTAAGGTTAAACATTAAGGACGCTGGCTGATTAGGACACAGGCTGACAAAGCAGCAGCCAGACTGTTGGCCAGACATGGAGATCTATAGTCAGAGGCTGCCTACTGTATGATAATACATTTAGAAAGGGTCCTTCCATCCCAGCCTGGCTGCTAATCAAACAGAAAAGTATGTGCTGTAGTTTGTTGATTGTATATGGGACTGATTGTTTTTCAGGGGTTGCACAGTGTTGTCAGACATATATGACCATGATGTAACTCAGAAGCTAAACATTTCACTGGGTTTTGCACTGTGACCCATCACCAGCTTTTTTTTCAAATGTCATGGGATTCACCAAGTAAACAAAGTCATTGATCGTGAGGCCGTAGAACATAAATGGGCCGAGCTGACAACTCGACTCATAAAACGGTGTTGAGTCATGTTGAGTTTAGGGAGATTGCATTGCTGACTACATTGAGTCACCACACATTTGATACTTTCACAGATAGGAGTGTCCATTATTCAGTTATTTTTGTACCCATGTTTGTAAACACAATGTTTCATTGGATGTTTATTGGTGTTGTGGAAACAGCAGAATATTATTTAGGTCCAAACAAATGAAAGAGTCATCAGTTATTCTCCTTTAAATTTTGTTGGCAACCCTAATGCTTCACTTGTCAATACTAAACAAGGCAATAGTAAATACAGTTTTCCCAAAGAATGATGTAGCAGCCAGAAATCAAGTCAAACTAATACATTTCATATTATTACTAAAGGGCTTCAGGAAAATTATTGCAGTATGATTGCATTTTCCTAAAATGTTGATGATTTAAGTCCTGTCTTGTTCTGTCTGGTCCTGTTTTGCCCCCTCCTGGTCCTTTTGTGTAATTGTCTAGTAATTCTCCGCTGTAATAATTTGCCATTTGTAACACCTGTGTTTTTCTTCACATGTCTAGTTTACCCTCGTTAGTTCTTGTATTTAGTGTCACCGGGGCAAATACACACAGTGAGACAAATAAATTTGGGGTTCTTTGATTTATTAATTTGAGTAGGTGAAACTAGTTTAAAACAAAAGATTAAATAAAAATTGGTCAGTGTTTGGTCACATCTCAAACCCAAACCTTAAACCCTATATTTCTATGTGCGACATCTACAATACCATCGAAAAATAAAATGCAAATATAAAAATGTCCAATTTACAAATAAAACTTATCTATACACATAAAACCTCTCTTTTCAGTAAACATAAAACTTCTCTTTTCAGTAAACATAAAACGGTAGTGGCACTCCTGCATAAAAAGGATCATAGCCATTTTAAAGTTAGTTAAACCACCGTGACAATAAATAACAATTTCTCTTAACATGAGAAACATCTTAACATCCTCTTTCTTACCCACAATGCTTTTACCGGCGCAACACCTCACACATAGAAACCAGACTTCCCTGTATCTCTAACCATCTTCTGTTATCTATCAGACATTGCGCACAATTTACATCAAACTAGTTTCAAACTATATACATCTAGTGATTATGAGTCTTATCATCAACATTTAACTCTCAAAAGTTATTTTTCAATAAACATTTGCGTTGTTAATAATTCTCACCGCATCAACTAACATGTGTCTCCCTCGAATAGGCTACTTTTTCCCGGACCGGTTCTTTTCCTTCCTGCCGTACTGACGTCACTAAGCACCTAACTCACGCACTAACAGGACAGATACCACCAGGGGCGGAAATCCCGGGGGGGACAGGGGGGACACGACCCCCCCCAATCCTAGGAGAAATATGATTTGTCCCCCCCAATAAATCACTGTCAACATAACTGTGTAATTTCAATATTATTAATAATACGCAATGAAAGCGCTTTGCTGATTATGGACACTATTGTGCTTTTTTAGTTTCAAAAGATTGCGAACCCTGCCCATGGTCCCACAATGGTTTGATCCACAGGCAATGTTTATGTTGTCTCGTGAACATTAGGGCGCTCTTCTCAGTTTACATTAAGCCTGGCTGAGAAAAGGTGGGTTTTTTATAAGTCACTACAGTACAAAGTTAAAATGTTTTCGATTATATTTAATGTTGTAACTTTAAATATATTTAGTACATTGTATAGTGTTAATATTCATCTGGGAACAATGTGGCTGATTTGCTCGGGAAGAGTATGTGAACAAGTTACAAATTAATCGGTGTTAACTTGTGTAAAAAGGTTTAGCTTATTTTTTCTGAATATCTAACATATTTTGATTTCTTATGTATTAAGATTAACAATGACCGACCAACAGAGGAGAAACCAGGCAGACATAACGCGCAGAAATACCAACAGGTGTAAACAATTACACAGGACAGGAAAGAAAAGGGCATTTCATATAAGTGACCGGGTAGCAGGAAAATACAAAAGCGAAACGGGTAAAAGTGGCCGACAAAAGAAACAAAGGCCAGAACTAGGGCTGCACGATATTGGAAAAAAATTATATTGCGATATTGCGAGCCATCAATCCAGGCTAATGTCAATAATTACCATTCCATCATACCGTACGGTCAGACTCATGTAGGGCTCCGTTGTCCTGCTGGACCATAAGTCTGCATAATATTCCACGTGTGACAGCTCTGCTTCAATCTTAGATCTGCATTTTCCATACAGCTCTAATGTGTGCAGGATGGTATAACATACCGCGTGCCATTTATATGTGCGGGATGGTATAACATACCGCGTGTCAAGCGTTCAGATCATTTTCTTAAATCTTTCTTTGGTGACTGTGTTTAATGACAAAATATCTTTAGCGATATAAAACGTTATTTTACGTTGTGGTGCCGTTTTAAGTGATCTGACAAATTGGTGGTGTTTCCTTGTTTTGTGGCCACAACTTTATAACCCTCCAGCAAAAGTACCTGTTTTTGATCAACATCCTAATTTTTGTAGCCGTTTATGTATAATATTAATTATTATACATAATTACATCTCCCGACTCCTTGGTTGTCTAAATACATCCGTCGTTTATTTAGCTAAGCATGTAAACGATCAGGAACAACGAAAACATATCGTTTAACGTTAGTGAATATTTGAGACAATAAACGGTGAGTTCATGAGTTCGCTACGTGTACCGTGGATTTAAGAGACACGAGAGAGAAGCTCATGAACGCGCATGTTGCTATCGGTTGCTACGACAACACAAACAAATTATTGCTAGTGCGCATGTCCATCATGACGTCATGGGCCAGTCAACGCGGAAGATCCAAGCATCATGTTGGCTTTATGCAGAGGTGGGACAAAGTCATTGTTATGCAAGTCACAAGTAAGTCTCAAGTCTTTGCCCTCGAGTCCCGAGTCAAGTCGAGTCAAAGATGAGGCAAGTCCCGAGTCGAGTCACAAGTCAAAGCCAACAAGTCTCAAGTCGAGTCCAAAGTCCTACCATTTTAGTTTCGAGTCATTTCAAGTCATCTTACCACAGAATTTATACAAATCATGTATGTCTGTAAGATTTGTATTTATTTAAACCTCTTATAACCTTTTATACAATTACATTAATACAGTAAAAAGCTGAAAATTTAATTTCACAAAAAATGCTTGTATTTCAACAGCATATTGCACTATTGCCCTGTATTGTATTGACCTTAGGGTTGGGTGGAAAAAAATTATATCACGATATATTTCTTAATTTCGGTCGATACGACATAATTCCGATATCGATATGAACAATATAAAAGCCTCAGAAAAAATGCCATGAACACCCACAATGGATGTCTGTATACAATCTTCTGAAAAATACATTTGCCAAGTCTTTTGAGCCTCCTCCTATAAAACTAAATAATATTTTAGAAATAAAACGGTACAAATAAATTAAAGTTCACCTTTTATTTCATTTTAACCTTTATACAAACAAGAAAAGTCAAATAAGCAATTTGACTCTGAGACTGACCTTATTAATATATTTAACTTTAAACAATAACATAGGCTGATTATATTATTCTTTACACAAAACTTCCTGCAACAAAACTTGTTCTTATAAACATATCGTTTAAAGTTAGTGAACATGTTAGACAATGAAGAGGTGAGTTCATGAGTTCGCTACGTGACCGTGGATGTAAGAGACACGACAGAGAAGCTCATGAACGCGCATGTCGCAACATGCTCGGAGAATGAGAGTGCTCAAAAGCGCATGTCCATCATGACGTCATGGGCCAGTCAACGCGGAAGATCCAAGCTCCTATGTTGGCTTTATGCGCTTTTGAGCCTCTCATTCTCCGGCACATTTAGCATCACGCTGAAACCTGAAGTTTATCAGATCTCAGAAAGCTGAACCACTTCCCTACCACTGAATTAGTCTTTCCTCTCATATCAACTGTCTGCTTTCTCCTCACTTATGGAAGCTTGTTCAGTCACGTTTGAATTGCGGTCATGGGCGCTCATTTTGTAGCTTAAACTTGCCGTGTTGGAGATCAGCAAAAATATTGAAATATCGAAAATGTGTTTAGAAATCATATCACCGTTATTAATTTTTTTTACCGCGATATATATTGATATTGAATTATTGTTCAGCCCTAACCTCATATTGCAAAACAGTTTAACTTTCAAATAGACATGGGTCCTTTTAGCCTGAACTTTTTTAAACATGTCATTAATAAAATCCTCACTCCTCAAAATGATCACTTCTGAAAAAATGGACCAACCTGATAATATAATTGGAATGACTCCATAGAGACGTGAGCGTGCCCGTGCGCAGCTCCGTCTGTAATCTTCGACCCGCATGTTTTGCAAATTGCAACTCTTTTTTTGTCGACTACCTCGTAATTCTTATAGCCAAACGAAACTATATTCGGTATCATTTTGCCAACTGGCGCGTTGTTGCT